TATTTGAGATAAGAATTGCTATTTTGATACTTTGAATGAATATCAAGATCACATTCTATCGCCGTGATGAATTACGAAACAGAAAGTTCATTCTCGATCTGTGATTGGCTAATGCTGATTACGAGGAATCTGATTCGCTGAACTGTAAGATGATTGACAGAGGAGACAAGAAGTTATGGGTTTGCAAACTGATCTTAGTAGCGTTTCGGCCTGAGGGGCCGAAACAAAAATGACTAAGTAATCACGTAATATGGGATTCCAAAAAAAATCATGGGATGACTCGTGGAATTCGACATTGAAATATCACTCGAAAAAACGATATCGCACTCATCTATATCGTTTTTGTCGTGATAGACCTATTGTATAGGAAAATTCATCGTATGACGAGGGAATTCCGCAATAAATTTCACTCGAAAAAAACGATTTCGCACTCGTGCGGAATTCCTGAGTTATCCAATAAATTTCTCTTGAATCCCATATCTAGATAAAAATAGCCCATTTTTGGCAAAAAAAAAAAGAAAAACAGCGCCACTCTGTCATTTTAATCGTTTTGTGCGTTCACGGCGGAAACGAAGCCAGTTTAATGTTTTCATTTTGAGTCCAGCCAATAGAAAACAAGCTGAGAAAGTGATAAATGTGCCCTTCACATCCAAGACTTTCAAGTTTAAGTTGTACGTCGTGTATTTGGTTCAAATCTTATCGAATTTCCTAGCAGAAAATGCCTTGTCGAAGTAAATTCAAGACTAGAACATGTTTGCTATTGTCGACCTTAAACTTATTCGACTCAATAACTGAAACAGCTTTCTATTGGAATCTAAAACTCGATTTTCAGAGGCCCCTTGATAACATAAAAAGAAGATTTGGATTCATTTRGACTTTAAAAGAGTRAGTGTTCATCTTTTCYCTCAAAGCAACACAAAACTCAATTCAAATTTTGGGTAGAAGTTATTCATGACGAGTTGACTGAATTTTTGTGTACATCGACCGCTGGAAGATTATAAACTTTGAAAAAAATAAAGTTATTTCGTGCATATCACCTTAAATAAATGCTGCCTTCAATTCCCTCAGGGGATGATTCCAGGACATGATTCCGGGCATGATTCCAGTTTCTTACCGAACATATACATAATCAACTTATAAGCTGTGAAATTGTACAAATTTAAATCACTATTCATAAATTTCACAATATATTAAAACAAATTAATGCAATTTCACAGATTTGGTCTTTTTACCAACAATAGCAATCTTTATACAGTGAAAAAGTTCTCAACATTACCCCATGTAATAACATAATTAAAAATGCTATACAACTTAAAGTGAGTTGAGTTATAGCTATTTCAAAAAAGGTTGTCGGATAAAATGGCTAATGTCAATGGTCGAACGGCGATTGCACGACCGAAAGTAGTCATGGGYTTKGKTAGTTGAAAGGCAATAACAACTGATTTATACTGTAACATAGTCTGTGGTAAACACTGGATCCTTTAATCTCGATTTCTRTGTAAGGTGAATCCAATAAGTGAATTTTTGTTTATCGAAGCAGTGCAACCATAGTCCCTTTCGGTCGTGCATTCTCCCTTCGACAATCGCCGTTCGCCGTTCTCCCCGACAACGTTTTTTGAAATAGCTRTATACAGTTACAATATGTGCATGTTATTTGGAAGTTCTTAATAAACTTTTCTCCTCTTTTGAKTGAATGTGAATATTATTTGTAAATTAATTTGAATTTTGAAGTATTTTGTAACATTACAAAATGAATGTCTATCTACTCACTTCATAACTATTTATTATTAAGAGTTGGTCCACCTAATTTTTCATAGTTTACTACCACTACTATCATCGAACTTTCCACTTTCCACTCTATCAGTATAATTCTTATGGGGCGGTGGRAGCACGAATTATAATTTATCCTGACCTCTGACCTCATTGTCAACAAGAAAATGACGCGAACGAGAAAGAGGCACTCRAATACAACGATGTGATCATAGGAAACTTTACAGAAAAATACCAAAACCTTGTAATGAAAGTATTTATGGGTCATTATTGGGTCATCAATAGATTGTCATGCAGGTATGTATGTTTCATCACCACTATCAAATCATTCCTACACAGTGCGTTGCTGTCTTATGTATTCGTATTATAACTATATTAGAATCTGGTGTAAAGGGTGTGGTCTATATGGAGATGGAGAGGCGGATCCAGGAGTTTTATCAAGGTACCGTAATACAAGCAGCAAAAACCCCCAAATTGTCTCTCAACATTGCTGCAAAACAAGTGGCAAGGGGATGGTACCGCCAAACCAAGTTGTCTCGCAGCAAAATAATTTGTTGCAGGTTGAATTTTTTTTTGGCAGAAAGCAGAAGATCGTCTTACTTTTTACGACAAAATCCGTCGATGTTGCGCGTATTACGGCAACAAACCTTTCACTCGCATTGTTCTTGCTTTCAATATATTAAAATAACGTTTTATTTCTACTATCGCCCGTGCTTGTGTTTATCATCATTTTAAAGCTAAAAAGCTGTAAATTGGGTGGGTATAGTCAAGTTATTGAATAAATTGCGTGCGCTTTTGTAAAGCATTATCAATATGGTGCACATGTGTGGCTAAGTGAACTGTCTTGTTACGTATGAATCCCTGGAAGCAAAGGTGTAAACTTTTTTTCCACAAGCTACGCAACCACTCTTTGACCTAACAAACTAGGTAGAATTTATAAACAATCAAAGCGAAGCAAGRAAGAGTACGATCGCCATGGCTATWTTTTGTTTATGTCACGCTMATCTACAAAAGGGCGCGAATCTGCTGGCGGGTAAGCGACGCGGCCGTCCATGACGGGCTCATACCAGCGGTTATTACCAC